TGGTACCATCAGCATTATATTTAATGGTATGGACCCACTTGCAACCCACCACATTTTTTTCAGAAGGAAGCTTCTCATTATCCTAAGTTCTATTTTTCTCAAGAGCCTCAAATTCCGCATTGACAGAGCCTCACCACATCTCAGATGCCATAGCTAGCTTAAATATTTTTGGTTGTTTCAAGGGTGTAAGCAAGAATAAAGGATTAAATAATGGGATTGAGGTTATCATAGCATAATACGGAAGAAATAGGATAAATAGTTTTCTGTTCAGCGGGAATAGATGTGGATGAAAAAGAGTTAAAAAGGTAGTAAATCACAATGATACTTAGAAAGATAACTAGGAGATTTAGTCAATCCTTTAGGTCTAGCAATATCAAAAGAATGAACACTAGTGTCTAATGTCACAGTTATCTTACGCAATGGAACTAAGGTTCACATTATTCATACGGGTGTCATATAAACCAAGTCATTCTTGTACAATCATCCACCAAAGTACAAAAATATCAAAATCCTTCAACAGACTCTATACTGAAAGAACCCCAAACATCTATATGGACAAATAAAATGGTTTAAAAGACATGTTATTATGAGAAACATAAGCTAATCTTTTTTTGTTTAGTTAATGGGCAAACTGAACATGAGACTCTGTAGAAGACGATGTAGACTTTAAACTTGGTATATCTTGAAACAATTTATGAAAAACACCAGATGAAGGGTGCCACAAAAGAACATGGCATGAGATGGTGTCGAGAGGGAAGGCATCTCAAGAATATAGAGATTGTGAAAAAGACCCCCCCCCATCATCAATCCATGTGAAAGTTCCTATAACAAACAAATATCAGAAAAAGAAATGAGCGAAACAAAAAAAGTCTTCAAAAGAGTACTCACACTAATGAGATTAAAGTTAAAATCCGGAACATATAAAACATCATACAAGACTAATGTATTTGTAATATGGATGACACCGTATGTATAATGGGGATATTAGTTCCATTAGGTAAGGTAACTGTGACATTGTGAACTGGTGTAAGCTTGTGAACATTCCTAAATCTGTAGAAACATGACTAGATGCCCCACTATCTATAATCCAAGCACTACGTGGAAGGAAATATAACATAGTTGAAAGGCAATGATCACGGAAAGTAAGAGCTCTATGTTCATATTTGAGAGTGGAAGAAGGAAAAGGGAATGTACCAGAGGAAGATGTAGAAGCTACATCACCATGTTCGGTGATTGTGGCTCTTGAAGAAGTAACGTGAGGCTCTTGAACTCGAACTTGTGAATTTTAAGCTGAGAAATCATATGCTGAATTTGCTGAGTTGTGAACTCTTGAAGAGTCATATTAGTACCACCACTCGTAATATGAGGAACTCCAGGTTGAATATAAGGAAATTTGGTGATACCAAGATTAGAATGAACATTCGCAATAGCATTACGCTATTGTGAAACAGTAGGACTCGCAAGTTGCATATGTTGTTGAACAGGAAGGAATTGTTGTTGTTGCTGTTTCTGTCGATTCTTCTGAGAATATTGGTTCTTTTCTCCATAACCAGAACCATTCGTCTTATAACCCGGAGGAAATCCAATAAGCTTGAAGCATTTCTGGACCACGTGACCACTCTTCCCACAGTGAGTACAAATTGGTCTTTGAGTTTGCTGCCTAGTAGTGCTATATGCTGCAATATGAGCATGTTCTCCAATGTAGCCAAGGAAGAATCAGGAGGCGGTGTTGTCATTGATTGAAATGCAACATTATCAACCTTTGTAGAAGACTTAATGGCTCGTTATCTCTCATCCTGAATAACTATATTGAAAGCCTCTTCAATAGTTAATATTGGCTTTAACATAATAATATGACGCTGAGAATTCTCATAAGACTCACTAAGACACATAAGAAACTTAGTTACCCTACACCTCTGTTGTAACTTCTCCCAAAGATTATCAGCATCACACTCAAAGTGACCACATGAACACATAAGTAGATCAACATAGTTCTTATGTTCTTCCCACAATGTGACCAACTTAGTATAGTAAGTAGATACATCATCCTGTTTGCTCAAGATCATGAACCCTAGGAGCATCATCTTGTTTAAAACTCGAGGTCATGTTGTTCCAATTACCTTTAGCCGTCGAAATGAACAATATATTATGTCCAATATTTTTAGAAACAGATTTAATCTACCAACTTGAAAAAATGTCATTGCATCTAGGCCATACACCATAATCTCTATGATTAAAAGGAGGACGAGGAATAGTACTGTCGATAAAACCTAACTTGTTACGAACATTCAAGGCCATCTGCACTGATCTCCTCCAAGAATGAAACTCTGGTGCTGTGGTTAATCAATATGAAAAAAGAACAAGTCCATGATGATCACTGTTATGCAAATCGTATGAGTTCTCATACTGATCAGCCAACGAGATGTATCATTCGCAATTTCCCTCGGAGGAAGCGATTCAGAATCTGGATTCGTCATCAAAGTGAATCAAGATTCCAAAACCAAAATCAATCAAGTAAGGAATGATAAAAGGAAAATAAATTGTTCGTAATAGGTCAAGAAATGTAAAGAAACAGAAAGATAAACAGCTCATAATCCCTCAGAAGAGTTCATCAATGGCGATTGTCATCAAGAACATGAATCGCGAGATCTGCATCATTAGAGCACTCATAGAATGAATCGATTGAAGTGGAAGATCAATGAGAATGCTATGATACCATATTAACGATCAATTCAAGCTTAATCCGAGATGATAAAATCGAGCTTTGAGAGAAAGAGAGTTTGAACTGAAGAAAGTTTGTTATTCACATTAATTGTAGACTATACAGTTAAGTTACAGCTTTATAAACTAAGCTGGTATTTACAAGTAAACCAGGTAATCACTTAACTAACATTGTACCAATATTAAACCAACTATCTTAAGAGACATCACCTAATAAAATCTTCTTCTAGACACATATCATAATACATAACCAAAAGATCAAAAAGAAATTAAGACATATATATAAAATATCCAAAATGCAACTTTATACATAAAAAAAATTAATATATGATAATTGTAGATCCTAAAATCCACTACTAAGTATTTTGTAGTGATCAGGAGTTTGATCAGGGGAAGACAAAGGATGTGGGCAATGATACTCTTAAACACAACGATACAATCAGAATTTGTTGACAAAAATGGATTTTTATTGAATATGTGATTCGTTACAAGGTAGCAAACAAGATCGAAAACAACAAAGAAAAGTAGAAGTAATAAGCGAACTAGGAATCTATGAAGTGAGGTCGATGTGATTAGTATAAGCTCTAGGGTATTCTGTGTGTCTTGTACTTCATTCTAGCTTCTTTTTATAGCCTCCTCCTCTTTTAACTGTTTCCGCGATCTTTGGGATGCCATCTCGGCCTCGTAGGGTCCGATCGATGTCGAGCTCATGGTGATCCTATACGGGCTTGGGCCTACATAATTAGGTGCTGAAATTGGGTCCAACATTTGTCCCCCAATCTTTTATTTTTGGTTTGAAAGATAAAGATGGCTCATTCGGACTCAATTGGCGAGAGTCGGTTTGGTTTCCGCGACGGTAGGGACCCGACATGTGTCTTCTTCCCATCTACGGACCGTTGGCGTGCGTTTCTAGAGGCTATTTGTGCCGTATTTGAGGTGAAACTTAATCATTGTCTCCTCATTAATGATAGAGCCGTTTTTTGGTGTCGGCGAATTGTTCTATAAATACTAATGGTTCTTCTTTCTCTCCTAAATCTTTCTTTCTCTTCCAAACTTCTTGCTTGTACGATTTTCGATCTCTCTCTAACAAAGATGGATGCTTCAGTTTCTTTTCCTCTTGCAATGACCACTTTTGATCATATGGAGGCTTTGTACACGACATATGGTGTCGATCGGAGCGTCAAGCTCGAGCTGGCTACTACGCTTGAGAATCCTAGAATTGTTCGCGGCGGTTTTTGTGGAGCGTATCTCTCTTTCTTCCAATCTTGCGGTCTTTTCTTCCCGATTCCTGGTCCGATCCTTGAAATCGTGGTCGAATTGGGTACATCTCTTACCCATATGTGTCCAAACTTCTTGAGACACCTTTTGGCCCTCGTGGTTAGAGCTCGCGAAGAGGGGTTTGCGATTTGGCTTAGAGGAAATGCGCCACTTGTGTTTGCTGAAGAGGAACAATCAGAGTCTGGGGACTTTTCTTATGTCGCCGCGCGTAGGACGCCATGTTATCCACGGGGTTCCATACCGCGACCAAGATTGGCGAGAAGGGTTCTTTGTCTTTAAGGTCGATCACTCGTCAATGGGTGATTTTTACTTTGCGATGATTCCTCGATTTTGGTCTGACGATATAGGTCAACTCTGGTTCTTTTGGTTCTTTTACACTATTATTATTATTATTATTATTATTATTATTATTATTATTATTATTATTATTATTATTATTATTATTATTATTATTATTATTATTATTATTATTATTATTATTTTTGTTATCTTTAATATCGGGAAAATTGCATTTTTAATCATGAAGTTGGCAAAATGTTTCACTTTAAACCTCGAGACTCAACAACTAACACTTCAAACTATTGAATTTGTTCTTATAACAGTTTAAACCCCTAACTTGCCAACTGTCGTCGGACCGTTACAAAACTTAACAATACAGTAGATGCCATTAACGGAAGCTGTAACAGACGTTTAGTTAAAACTGTGCTTAATTAAGCTTTAAACACGTTTCCAATCAAAATTGTTTCTTTACCAAAAACCAAAATTGAATTGGGGATCTAGGGTTCTTATCAGAGAGAGAGAGAGAGAGAGAGAGAGAGAGAGAGAGAGAGAGAGAGAGAGAGAGAGAGAGAGAGAGAGAGAGAGAGAGAGAGAGAGAGAGAGAGAGAGAGAGAGAGAGAGAGAGAGAGAGAGAGAGAGAGAGAGAGAGAATCTGAGACGAAAGGAATTCCAGAGAAAGAAAGTAGAAGAATCGAAGAGGGTATTTAGATGCTTGAGGCGAAATGAGGTAAACGTCCAAAACCTTAAAATTCTGGGAGATTTGCGTTTTCTGGGTTGGTTAATTTTCGTGGTTAAGATTCTAATTTGAACTTAATTTTCAGTGGAGTGACTTTGGTGAAGTTGGGAATCCACTTCGGTGGAACAATGGAGAAAATCGATTACTCTTACAAGTACATCGGCGAAATTGGAGAAGAGACAGTGAGATGGGAATTGTATGACATATCTTGGGATAAGTTCTTGAAGTTCAGTAAGGAAGCTGCGTTGATAAATGCAACGATAAGATTCATTTGGTATAGAGAGATGGAGAAAGAGATGAAGACTGTGAACTATGTTTTTGAAAAAACTCTAGAAGATATGTTTCTGATGATATGCGTAGGAAAAGAGAAAGGTGAGATCGAGATCTTCCTTAAACATGATATTTCAGATGAAACAAAGCCTCATGTCTACATGGTTACACCAAATAGTCAATGTGTAGAAGTTCAACAACGTGAAGATGATGTCTCGGGCAGTGAAGAAGAAGTGGAGAGACCATTGGAAGATGAAGAACCGAATGTTCTGAAGATGAGAATGTAGTTGAAGAAGAAAATGAGCATAGCGGTGAAGAAGAAAATGAACAAGTGGCAGATGAGAATGCTGACATCGGAGATGATGTTGTTGAAGATGCAGGAGATGGTGGTAAAGATCATAGATTTAAGTCACTTTTTGAGGAAGGTGCAATGGCGAAAGCAACTAAAGAAGCATATCAGAATTTAGAAAAAAAAGGAAGCAGAAAAGGAAGCAGCAGAAAGTGATGAAGAAGGTGTATTAGAAGAGGATGGTAGGTAATACACCACTTGGATCTGAAGAAGAATGGGATGAATGGGATAAGCCAAAACGAAGAGGCAGCGAAAAAGAAAAACCTAAGTTTCAGAGCTTTGGATAAGGAACCTTATATCTGGCTGTTCCAAAAGTTTAACTCGGGGCAAGAGTTCAAAGACCAGTTATTGAGATACTCGCTAAAGACTCAGTTTGACGTTAAGATGGCCAGGTCTGATGCAAACAAAATAGTAGTTGTGTGTTGCGGAGATGAGTGTAAATTTAGGGTCTATTGTTCATTTGAGCCGCCTATCAATAAGTGGATGGTAAAGGTCTGCTAGATGCGTCAACCATGGAAAATCAAGCAGAGTGTCAATGTTGAAGCAAACCGTGATTGCAAGCTTGTTTAGAGAAGAGATAAGAAGAAATATTAGCTTACAAGCAACTGTGATCAAAGACATAATTAAAGAGCGAGACCACATTGTGGTACCGATCACAAAGTGTTATAGAGGAAGGTGCATTGCTTTGGACAGTATCTTGGAAGCTCAAGCAATTCAGTTTTGTAAGTTGTGGGACTATGAAGCAGAGCTTAGGCGAACACATAGTGGTATAAGTTGTGGGACTATGAAGCAGAGCTTAGGCGACTATGTACTGTCGAGAAAAATGGTAGACATATGTTCGATTATTTCTACATTTGCTTTGAGGAGTCCCGTAAAACATGGAAGGCGTGTTTTAGACCAGTTATTGGTTTGGATGGTTGTTTTTTGAAATGGGAATTGACAGGCGATGTACTTTCTGCAGTTGGTAGAGATGCATATAACAGAATGTACCCGATTGCATGGGCAGTGGTTAGAGGTGAGAATGAAGACACTTGGAGGTGGTTTGTAAAGAAGCTGAAGGCAGATCTTGATATAGGGAATGGAGACAACTTGACAATAATTTCTGATAAAGAAAAGGTAATACTTTAGACTTTATCTTCTAATATTTTAAATAAAAATTGTTCTAGACTGTATATACTTGTAATGGTCTTTCCTTCATAGGGTCTTGTGATTACTATAGAGAACGAGCTTCCAAATGCCGAACATCGTATGTGTGCACGGCATATTTATGCAAATTGGAAGAAGAGAGGGTTCTCAAGGTTAGAATACAAGAATCTGTTTTGGGGAGTTGCATATAGTTACACTGTAGGAGAGTATGAAGAAAAATTGATGATAGTTAATGCATATGATCCTGCGGCGTATGGTGCTCTGTTTGATACCGAACCTGAAAGATGGTGTCGTGCTTTGTTCAAGGAGGAGTCCCATTGTGCAGACGTTCACAATAACTTGTCTGGGAGTTTTAATAGGACAATCAAGATGTCAAGATCAAAGCCTGTAATTAATTTGCTTGAGGACATCAGAAGACAAGCGATGAGAAGGATTTCAAGAAGGTGGTTGAAAGCAGAAAAGTGTGACACTGTCGTAACACCAATCACAATGGCGATATTGAAAAAATCACGGGTTGAAAAACAGTTTTACACGACTTTACGGAGCAGCAAAAGTGTGTATGAAGTTAAATAATTTGAGTGTGGGTATTCAGTGAATATATCAACTCACCAATGTGCCTGTCGCAATGGGATCTCACTGGCATACCCTGCAAGCATGCTGTCTGTGTTCTGGATGATAACAACGATGACCCTATTAGGTATGGGGCTCCATACTATTACTCATATTTCTTGAAAAAGACTTACAAGGAGAATATAGAACCCGTGAATGGAGACAAGTTTTGGAAGAAGAGTCATAAGCCTCCAATAGAAATACCTGAATTTCTTAAGCCTAGAGGTCGTCCAAAGACTAGAGATAGAAGAAAGGAACCACTTGAACATCTGCAAAATGCTGGAAAAGCAACGAGGCATGGAAGAATTCTCCACTGTAGTCAATGTAAGGAAGCTGGGCATACATCTGAGTTTACCACAGGTCTAATCTTAACCCATCAATTCTAGAAGACCCAAACATAGCGCAAACCAGCCAGCCTCCTTCAGATTGTTAAAGATGCGGGTTTTTGTTTTATTTTTATCTTTCCATGGTTTTCTTTTGTTTTAACTAGCTTTGGTTAAGGAAAACATTCTCGGCTTTTGTATTTTCTCACTACATTATCACCCTTTGTATCTTTTGACTACATTATCGGCAACTCTCTCAATTCAGTGTCTTCTATGTTTCTTTTCACAAGATTATACTGACATATAACAATAGAAAAGTGAAATATCAAACACAACATAACATAGATAGAGTCTTACAACCATACACACAAATAAAGTTATACAAGCACACAACATAGATAGTCTTAAAACCAAAAGCCAACATAGATAGAGTCTTAAAACCAAAAGTCTAGATAAAGTCTTACATCCGAAAGCACAAAAACAACATCTTCCAATTCTAACAATATTAATACTTTGACATCACCATCATTCCTCAAAATACCACAGCAAAACCCATGGACGAAGCCACAAGTACATTGCGCAAAACCGAACTCCTCTCCTTTAGAATCAACACCTCTATCTTCAAAGCTTCACATTCCTCATTCTTTTGTTTCATACTCACCATTAATTCACTCGAAATTTCCAAATTCTCTGAGACATGATTTACAGATCTTACATGCTCCCTCAGATTTGCAATCTCCTCTTTTTGTTCTCGGATTGTATCCCAAGCCTCCAAAAGCGCAAGATTCTGCCATCCATGAGGTTTCTCAACATCATACCAACGGAAGAAGTTGCATGACTCGAAATCACTCCCAACACGGTGTCCTCTGCAGCTCAAGAATCTTCGACCTGGGTTTTCACGGGTCCAAGATCTCACTATCTTCGTTGGTCGGTTACAATCGCAAGCTACAACATTGTCGTTTGATGATGAAATTGCTCCCTAAGAATTCACACTTTGAGACATTCTCGGACTCTCTCTCTCGAAATCTCAATTTCTTTCACCTTTGCTAACAGTAAATTCCAAATCGAGGAATAAATTGTCTTTTTATAAACCCAAACCTTTCGATTGAAAACGTATTTAAAGCTTAATTAAGCACTTTTTTAACTAAACGTCTGTTACAGCTTCTATTAACGGCGTCTAATGTATTGTTAAGCTTTGTAACGGTCCGACGACGGTTGGGAAGTTAGGGGTTTAAACTATTACAAGAACAAATTTGATAGTTTGAAGTGTTAGTGGTTGAGTCTCGAGGTTTAAAGTGCAACCTTTTGCCAACTTCATGATTAAAAATGTAATTTTCCCCTTTAACATCTGACTTCTGAAGTTTTTTTCTGGTTTTCCAGTGCATTCCGAGAACTCTCCGATGTCGAATGAGCTCCGACGTCTTTCGACAGCTAATGAATCCGCGGCGCCTTCTTGCTGTCGGATGGGACCAATCAAGCGTCGACTATTACCAAAAGCTCGATCAAACTCAAGGATAACTCAGGACCTTCTAGTGATCCTCCTTCTTCCGCCAAGTCGGATAGGCAGTTGGTCAGGAGGTCATCGTTCAGGAACCGGAGATTCGTCGCGTGGAGCCGAGACCTAGAGGATTCTCCTTTGATCTTAATCCTGGTCTCTGACGTCGAGGGGACTTTTGGAGCGGGGGGATCCCCGATTTTTCTGATTCAAGGTTCGGAGGAGGACTCTGCTGTCAAAGATCGCCAATTCCAACGATTGTCGCGAATTGCAACTCCAACATCGTGAGATTTTTCTTTGCTCTGAGATCGCGATACATCGGCTCCGAGTTTGTCTGTTCTTCCTTCGGCTTCTTTCAAGGAGAGGGAGACATATGCCAGAATTGCAGAGGCCAACTCCAAGGTTAATTATGTTCTTTTTCGTCATGTTTTCAATAAGTCGATCTCGTCCTGATGTCCTTAGTATTTTGCAGGTTATGATCGCCGTCGACGAGTCTGTTGCAAATTTTGAGGGCCACGGCGAGAAAGAGTTAGCGAGAACGCGGGCTGAAGCGAAGAGTCTCAGGGAATCGCTCCAGAAGGTCAAGGAAGACCTCAAGAAGAAGACTAGGGAAGCTGCGTTTCTGAGGGATGAGTGGAGGAAGGCTCGTGAAGAGAGGATGGTATTAGAGACCGAGGTTTCCAATAAAAAAAAACCTTGGTTGCAGAATTCCTTGCGGAGAGGGAACGAGACATCCATCGAAAATCTCGTGCTATGCGCCGTGAGATCACCGATCGTTACAAGGAGGTCCTGACCATTGTGGAGAAGAACTGGTCAGACAAGAAGGAAGCAAACGAGGAGATTCAGTTGAGGGAGGTGATCGTGAACATCGACCTGCTTAATGAGATCAATGATGGTGGATTGGTCATCGATGATGAGTTAGCTCGTCTTAGGGAGATGGAGAAGGACTGCGAAGGCTTCGTTGAGCTGGCTGCCGTCGCGGATTGGTCTATCTCGGATTTGGATCTCCCTGAGGTTTCCGGTGATTCAGTTGTTTCAGAATCTTATTCCGAGGACGGAGCTGATTCTTAGATTTAAGATTTTCTTTCTTTTTTTTTTTAAATTCTAAATCGGATATTTTGTTTTCGGATGTTCCATTGATAACCACAAGTTTATGGTATCTTTTCTCTTCTGAATTTTCGAGATTTTATCCCTTTTAAGTTGATAATATTCGTTTTACTTTATCTTTATAAATATCTAATTCATTCTTTTTATCTTCTTATTCTTG